AGGGAGGGAGAGAAAGAGAGAGAGAGAGAGAGAGAGAGAGAGAGAGAGAGAGAGAGAGAGAGAGAGAGAGAGAGGCTAGTTTGCTCTCCGACAAATGGCGAGGGTCCTGCTTCTCTTTCTCTAGACAGCTGACACAAGGCAAAAGTACCACTTCTCTGGTAGGATTTGAGGGGGCTGTCCCAATCATTCTAACCAGGCTTAAAAGGCTGTCAGCGCCAGTCAGAACTTTCTTCTGCTAGAAGGCTGGGCAGAGATGAGACACGTTTTAAAACCAGGTTTACCCGGCACACCTCACCTTCTCGCAGCCGATCCTTGGTGTTCTTGCGGACACGGAGGCAGACTCTGACCTCCCCAGCATCCTTGTTTTTTGATACTGGTTCTTGACATGCAAACACACTCCTTGCTAGATTCTTGGGGTTGAATTCCATGGTTGCCTCCAGTCTCAGCACGGGCTGGGCTCTAGAGGAGCATCAAAGGGCCATCAGGAACCAGTAGAGACGTTCCAAGGGGGAAGGGCTGGTAAAATGGGAGAGCCTCTCACCTGAGCAACAGAAGACGCCCCTGCGCCCCCACAGCTAGGTCCATCAGGCCGTCCATTGTGAGATCCTTGCCCCCACTCAGAGACTGCCCGAAGTACTGGAGCCCGGAGGAGAGGCGGGCACCTGTGATTCGCTGAGGGAAGGAAGAAGAGAGAAAATAGAAAAGCCTGTGACTCAGTCAGCCAAGGCACAGACTCTCTTCTTTACCTCCCATGCTTTCAAGGAATTCGGATGACTTAAAGCTTATCTTGTGCACACAGCGATTACCTGTACAATCCCAAAATCGCATCCTCAGGCTCTCTAGCCAACATCGTGTATGTAGGAGTTTGGTTTGGGGAAACTAGTAAACTCTCTGCATATATATTTTTAAATATGTAAATAATTCCAATGTACAGTCCAGATTAAGGACTACAGTTCTAAATATGAGGAAAAATATTTTGGTATAACTTGAAGTGATTGAGCAATAATAAGACATTTTGTTTTTATTTTAGAAAACAAAGGACTTCTACAATAGGAAAGAGAAACCCTGCAGTTCCTGCTGCATAGTTTACAATATTTAAGCAAAAAAAATTAAAATTAAAAATTAAAAAACACTTTTTGTCATCTTTAAAAAAAAAACATATTAAGGAACTGTTTAAGTCACGACCTCCAAACAATACCCAAATTTTCCTAGATTATCTGAGTTTCCTAAAGAAAACTGAAAGTTTTACAAAAAAGGAAATAAAAATATACAGTCCTCATTTATATAGGCAGAAAAATGCAAACATTGAGTATTGATCTAACCCACATTATCTCTTTTGTTACATTCATCTTCCTTGAGAGAGTGGGGATTCCCACACCACTGAGCTCATGTAGAGGTCAGAGGACAACTTCAGAAATCAGATCTCTCTTCCACCTTGTGGGTCCCAGGCAGCAAACTCAGGTCACGGGAGTGTGTGTGCCAAGTGTGTGTGTAGAGGTGAGAGGATGGTTTGAAGAAGTCGTTTCTCTCCAGCCACCATGAGAGTTCTGAAGGCTGAACTCCGGTTGGCAGACTTAGTGGGAAGAATTTTTCCCAGCTGAGCTATCTTGCCAGCCTAGTGTTTGATATCTATGTTTACTGTGCTTGCTCACACCTACCAATCCATTTCTTAAGATCTATATGTCAGTACACACACACACACACACGCAGACACACCACACACCCCTTTAAAAGAAAAACCGTGGTTGGGAGTGGTGGCACATGCCTTTAATCCCAGAGGCCAGCTTGGTCTATGAAGTGAGTACCAGGACAGCCAGGACTGTTACCCAGAGAAACCCTGTTTTGAAAAGCAAATAAACAAACAAACAAAGAAAACAACAAATAAGGAAGAGGAGAAGGAGGTTTGTGTGTTTGCTGCCTACGGTCCAGCTGGGCAAGTACTGTAACAACGAGCCATATCCTGGGGACCTCTAGTATTGTTTCACTGGGAAGACACTTGCTTTGAAATTACCTGTAATGTGGCAGGTTAGAGGTCCCTGGCTTATTAGCTGTTCCCACTAGTACTCACCTTTTATTTCAATCATATAAGAAAAAAATATAAACAACAATAAAGGCAAAATAGCACAACCCATTTTGTATTTGCTTTTAACCACAGATTGTGGGTGAACACACACATGTGCACATACAAAGTACCCTCTCCTTCAGTTTTCACCAGGCATGTAGCCCCCAAGCGGCTCCCCACGCTCATGCACACACTAGCAGTGCTTAGTGGATTCAGTAGGGTTTGAGGTAGGGGACACATGTAGAGCTGGAGAGTGGGCTCAGAGGGGAAAAGCACTGGCTGCTTTTCCAGACCTACAGCTCAAGAGCACCTGTAACTCCAGTTCCAGAGGATCTGACGCCCTCTTCTGGTCTCCTCAGGCATTAGGCACAGCAGTGCACAGACATGCAAACAAAACACCCATATGCATAAGATAAAACACACACACACACACACTAAAAGAAAGAGCATATGAAGTTGGGAGGGGAAAGTGATATGAAAAATATAACAGGACTTGGAGGGACAGAATGGGGGTAGATCTGATCAAACACGTTATATGCATGCATGAGATTCTGAAATAAAATCCATTTTAAATACTCTCTCTTTGGCCTTGTTTTCCTCTAAAGTTAAAGGTCTGAGATACGGCAGCGATGGAATGAGAGGACCCAGCTTCCACTGTTCATCTTACATATAAATTTACTCTGTGATAAAAACAAAATTAAAGCAGAAAACTTCAAATCCATTTACACAAACACACACACACAAAACCATCTGCACCAGAGAGAGAGAACGTGGTGCCAATATGCATAAAGTGTGGAGATGCCCCATGGCAGCAATGTCTCTGGAGTCTGTGGCGTGTACTCCAGCCCAGAGAGTGAACAGAACTGGGAAAAAAATAATCAGAACTGTGGTTGTTTCCAGTGTAGGAGGGAGGATAGGAATTGACTGGAGAGGTGACACTCCATATTGTTTGAGGTTTTCTTTGAGAGAAAGTTGAGTTTTGGAGGGACTATAGCAAGGTCTGCATATATGGCCCAGGCTGGTCTTGAACTTGCTATATAGTCCAAGAGGGCTTTAAACATGATCTCTTCTTACCTCTACCTCCTGTGCCCTGGCATTACTGATGTAGTCTACCACACCCAGCCACATGTCTGCATACTAAAGGGGATATGAATTACATTTGTCAAGACACTGAATAAATATCTATGTACTTTCTATTTGTAGGTCCTAGTTAATAGCCTACATGTCAAAATAGTAGACAAAGTGAACAGACACTGCAACTTAATTTAAAATGCATTAAAAAGAAAGGGCTGGGTGTGGAAACACACAGCTTGTAATTGCAGCATTGGAAAGCCCAAGCAGGAGGACCCTGAACTCTAGGCCAGACTAGATACAGAGTGATACATTGTCTCAAAATAAATAAAGAAGTAAGTGGAAAGGCAAGAAGGAGGCTCCTGGGTAAGCACCTGCTGTGCGCCTGTTGTGAACCTGTTGTGAACCTGGAAGAACCTGAGTCTGGATCTCCAGCACATGTAAAACCTGGGCATGTCTGTCTGTGACTCCAGTGCCAAAGGATGGAGACACATAGATCATTGGGGTTTGGCAAAATGGTGAAAATCAGGTCATTTGTGGGAATAAATGAAAATAAAGATAACCATGCTAATTAAAGTAACTCAAGTCCAGAAGAACAAACTGTGTGTTTTCTCTCATATGTAGAATCTAGGCTTTTCAGAGTGCTAATGATAAAGTAACAGTGCCGGCACATGATCCAGAAATCCCACTTCTCAGTTTTATTCAGAAGAATCAGAGTAAGAATCTTGAAGGAATATTAGCACATATTTAGTGTCATACTGTACTGGCTAGTTTTGTGTGTCAACTTGACACAAGTTAGAGTCATCAGAAAGGAAGGAGCCTCGGTTGAGAAAATCCCTCCAGCTGTAGGGCATTTTCTCAATTAGTAATCAATGGGGAAGAGCCAGACCATGGTGAGTGGTGCCATCCCTGGCCTGGTGGTCCTGGGTTCTAGAAGAAAGGAAGCAGGCTGAGCAAGCTATGAGGAGCAGGCCAGTAAGCAGCACCCTCCATGGCCTCTGCATCAGCTTCTGCCTCCAGGTTCCAGCCCTGCTTGAGTTCCTGTCCTGACTTCCTTCAATGATTGACTTCTGAAACGGATGGTCTGAAAGTGTAAGCAAAATAAACTCTTCCCTCCCCAACTTGCTTTTTGGTCATAGTGTTTCATTACAGAGATAGAAATCCTGACTAAAACACACACCATTCACAAAAGCCAAGGAATGGGATAACCTGCATGTGAGACAGCTGAGGACAAGTTGCCCCAACAGTGGTATTTATCTATAGTGGGATACAACTCACCCCTTACAATGAAGGAAAATCTGTCACTGTGCCAATAGGAATGAACCTAGAAGATATTACTCTTCATAAAAATAAACCAGGTACAAAAGGCCAAATCACTGCACTACATGGAGCTGTCTAAAATAATCAAATCATACAAGCAAAGCAGAGTATGACAGAGGGGCCTCAGGGAGGAGGCAAAACAGAGGATTACCAACCAATGCCTAGAAACAGCTAGAACAGGTCAAGTGTGAGATGTGCATTTCAAGTCTAATAAGAGTTAAATAGTTAAGTATTTTTATCACGATACATTTTTAAAAGAAATAAAGGAAAATATGAGACTGGAAAAGATGAGAGACCAGAGACCAGAGGCCACGTGGCCACAGCTTGCTCAGAGATAACACAGCATGGCTGGGTGAGGCGGAATGAACTGCAAGGACCCCACAGGCAGGAAACCCACACAGCAGTGACAGAGTCACCAAGGGGCGGGGGGACCAGTTCTGGGCCAGGATTCAGGATTCAGGGCAACTTAATTTCGACACACAATCCAAAAGAACAATGTTGGGTTCACCCATTTAAAAACTATCGTTAGCCAAGCACAGCGCTCTCAACCGTAACCCCACACTGTAGAGAGAATATCTTGTGTATTGTACGGATGCATCACCTGTCAATTTAAAATCCTATGGACTATGTTTGGTAACCCCTGGTGAGCCCACCCCGCTCCAAACCCATGGTCACAGAGATGGCCCTGACTGACTGCAGTCAGTCTCAAATCAAAACAAAAACACATATGGGTATGTATGTAGGAATGAGGGCTGGCAGGAGACAAGAGAAGATCGGGGAGAGGATTCAGGATGTATTGTATATACATATGAAAATGTCAAAGAAGAGGCTTAATTTGAGAGCTGGAGAGATGGCTCAGCACTTAAGAGCACTTACTGCTCTTGCAGAGGATGTAGGTTTGATTCCTGGCACCCACATCAGGGAACTTACAACTGCTTGTAACTCCAGCCCCAGGGGATCCACTGCCCTCTGACATCTGTGGGCACCCACAGGTATGTGGTGCACATAAACACAGGCAGGCAATTCACACATACACATAAATAAAAATAATAAATCTTTAAAATAATTTTTTTTTTTGGTTTTTCGAGACAGGGTTTCTCTGTGTGGCTCTGGCTGTCCTGGAACTCACTCTGTAGACCAGGCTAGCCTTGAACTCAGAAATCCACCTGCCTCTGCTTCCCAAGTAAAATTTAATTTTAAAAACATAAAAAAATATGAAGAAAAGAGCTGGGCATAGCAGTGCACACCTTTAATCCCAGCACTTTGGAGGCAGAAGCAGGTGAGTCTCTATGAGTTTGAGGCCAGCCTGGTCTGCATAGTACATTCCAGGCCAGCCAAGGCTAGATGGTAAGACCTTGTCTCCAAAAGGAGTCAAGGGGAATAAGGCAGAGAAGTGATTGAAAAGAGCATGCTACCATCAGTCTCTGACTTCCACATCACCCACGATGCACATGCATGCACATGTGTGTGAGGACACACACCCTCATGTTCATACGCACACACACATGTGCATATGCATGCAGTACACACAGACTTTTAATGTAGCAACAGAAAAATTTTAAGCTAAATCCAGAAGTCTCATAAAAAGCCCTAAGATCAATGAAATACTATAAAGTGTCCAACTGTATAGGTTTCCTGTGACATAGGATTTTCAGTCCTAAAATCAGGACAGGTCTAGGGGAAGCAGAACTTTTAGGCACTCAGCTAGCACCAGGATTCCAGAGGAAGGAACAGCACAAGAAACAGCAGAAACCATACATCTCTTCCTCTGGTCTAACTGCTGTTCTGTACCAGTGCTTAGCAGTTAGATGCTCACTTCTGCAGCTGGTCATCGACAGCCCCAGGCCTCAGCTGTAAAGTGAGTGTGGGTACCCTGACAGGGTACCGCCTACCATTACAGAGAAGTCATCTAGACTGGGGGTGCTCTGAGGCATCTGGGAAAGATGTGTTACTGTTTTGAAGGTTCTGGGAGAAATGAAGGAAAAGTGATCCAGCAGTTAAATCAGAGGATCCCCGTATCACACGAGTCAGTGCTGTGCAGTCAGTAATGGCTTCTTACCTGGCTGTGAGAGGCACTGATGCTGGCTATTGATGCTCCATGGAAAATGTAGACAGCACCCTGATTCTCCTGCTCCCCTGGGGCTCCGATGGCCACATCTGTCAGTTTGTCCCCGTTCACGTCTCCCAGCACTGTCAGAGCCGCCCCAAAGCGTCCCCAGGGATGGCCCTGATCACCATGGAGGATAGCTTCACACTGCCACCGTGCTCTCTGCTAGACAGAAACAGTCGCAGACAAAAAATCCTGGCAACTCCCACACCTCACACCCACCCCACCCCCAGGCCCATCACTCACCCCTCTAGGCAAGGGACACACTAACACCTGGCCTCCTCGGGTCTTCTCATAGTAATGAGGGGCCCCAATGAGGATCAAGTTGGTATTGCCATCAAAGTCCATGTCCACAGAACAGAGGGAGGCCCCAAAATAAGAGCCAATCTGAAAGAGACAGGGCAAAGATCACATACCTCTTTCCACCTAAGAGTCTGGGAGCTTCCTGTCTATAAAAATGTCCATAGGCAGACATGGTAATGTATACCAATACTTAGTACAGGAGGATCAGGAGTTCAAGGCCTGCATAGGGATATATCTTAGGACTTGTCTGAAAGGAAGAGAAAGGAAGGAGAACATGTCTACTGGAGAAAATCATTAGAAGATAGGATTCTCTATAGGATTTATGGTGGTTTAAAGAAGAATGATCCCTATAGGCTCAGATATCTGAACACTTAGTCACTGGAGTCCTTTGATAAAATTCGAAGGACTTTGAGGTGTGGCCTTGTTGGAGAAAGTGTGGCACTGGAGGTGAGTTTTAAGGTTTCTTCCCCACTCCCCTGAGACAGAGTTTCTCTGTGTGAACAGCCCTGGATATCCTGGAACTTGCTTTATAGACCAGACTGGCCTCAAACTCACAGAAATCTGCCTGCCTCTGCCTCCTGGGATTTCAGGCATGTGCCACCACAACCCACAGATTTGAAGTTTTCAAAAGCCCACACCTGACCCAGTCTCCCTCTCACTGTCTCTGTCTCTGTCTCTCTCTCTCTCTCTCTCTCTCTCTCTCTCTCTCTCTCTCTCTCACCCTATGTATCAGGATGAAGCTCTCAGCTCCAGTGACATGTGTACCACCATGCTCTCTGCCATGGTGATAATAAATTAAACCTCAGAAGCTGTAAGCAGCCCCGATTAAATGTTTTCTCTTATAGACGTTCCCTTGGTCATGGTGTCTCTTCACAGCAACAAAAGGGTGACTAAGACATGATTCCTGATACATTCTGAGAGAGAGCAAAGCAAAAATAGAGAGGGAAAGGGAGAGGGAGAAAAAGAGGGAGAAGAAGGGAGGATGTCAAGGATGAAATCCAGTACTTCTGATATGCTAGGCAACTGATCTACCACTGAGTTACACCCCTAGACCAACCAATTGAATACGCTGCTAGCTATAGAAATTCATCATAAAGCCAGAGGGCAGGAAAGCTGAACTTATCTCAATGGTATTCCAGAGAAATTGCTAACGCCGTAAAGGTTACACTGGCCAACACAAATACGATGTCTAGAAGAGTAGACATGGTGCCCTTTTAATAGATTAGAATTCTTTGTAGAGGCAGAGAATAAAGTCTAATTTGGCCATAATCCGTATGATTGGATTAAAATCACAATTATATCCATATATGTTATAGCACACCTTTAATCCTAGCACTCAAAAGACAGAGGCAGGCAGCTATGAGTTTGAGGCCAGCCTGGGCTACCTAGAGAAACTGTCTCAAAAAAACAAAAATAAAATAATGTTTATTATTAATTAATAATTAATTATTAGGTAATAATTATTAATTATTTATTGTTGTGGTGGTTGTTAGAAAGCTGTAGCTCAGTGAATAACTACTTGTCCCAGTTTAGTCTTTAGTACTGAGAAATTTTGATACCCAGAAATTTTTGTGTCACCTACCAGTAAAAATGTCTTTTTCGTATGCTCATTGAAAGCATGTAGCATTCACCCATAGAACTGAGGCACTTATAGTCCATTTATTCATTCATTCAACAAAGACTCGTTTGCTGAGCACAAGAGAGGGTAGCAGACACTGTGCCTTCAAAGTCAGCCAGCGAAACAACATGGAAAGAAGAGCAAAGAACGAATAAACAGGGATGTGTGGCAGGTTTTAACCTAAGAGAAGTCCCAGGACGGAAAAGTAGAGAGGACGTCATGCTGTGACTGACAACTGTCTCTGCCCCACCCCTACACGCAAGTGCAACAGGAGCGAGCGCGCGAGCGCGCACACACACACACACACATAAACACAGCAGGTAGCCTCACTCCAGCACAGTAGCATTTTTTGTTTTAAGGAAAGGTTTACTGAAGGTAAATTTTACATAGAACAAAATTCAACTGCTTTAGAGTATAGTTGTAGAGTTTTGACAAACACACCGTCATACAATCCCAACCACTCTCAGGATATAGAACCCCTCCCTCATGGTGCCTCACAGTTGGCCTCTTCCCTGTTGGCAATCCCCGGGAACTACTGATGTGTTTTCTGTCCCTGTGTCACAGCTGTCCTATCCAGGACTGCTGTGAGGATGGCTTCCATAGCATGCAGACTTTTTAGACCCCATTTTTCACCTAGAGTAATTCACTGGAAGTCTCTCCACGGTGTTTGCATGCACTAGTAACTCACTTCCACCGATGATGGGCGCTCTGCTGCATAGGCACAACGTGCCATTCTGTCCTCCAGCTAAGAGCTTCTGGATTGCCTCCAGGTTGACATGATTAGTAACAGAGCAATGGCAGACGTTGGCACATAGATTTCCATGTGAACATCTGTCTCTATTTCTCCTCAATAATGCTTGGTTCCACTGGTGTATTGATGGAATGTTAAATCTCATCAAAAGTGAATTTTCTCTGGAGCCATTTCGTGTGATATTCGATAAGATAGTTTGTTTTGGATTTTCAGCCCCTCTGTCACTTGTTGAAAAGCCTTTCCTTACAGTTTCCTGCACCTTTATTGTATATCAGCCGGCCAGTTATGACAATAACAACATAAAAGGTGTGGAAGAAGGAAGTTGTGAATAGGAGTTTGTGGGTTCGTTTTTTACTTTTTTGTTTTTTCAAGACCGGATTTCTCTGTGTAGCCTTGGCTGTCCTGCAACTCACCCTGTAGACCAGGCTAGCTTTTAACTCAGAGATCCACCTGCTTTTGCCCACCAAGTGCTGGGATTACAGGTGTGTGTCACCATGGCCTGGTGAGTAGTTTTTTGTATTTTATATTTTGTATTTTGTTTTTCAGTGTGGATGAAATTGTCATCCATTAAAAATAGGATGCTATGAGCTGGAGAGATGGCTTATTAGTTAAGAGCACTGGCTGTTTTTCCAGTGGTCCTAAAATCAATTCCCAGCAACCACATGGTGGCTCACAACCATCTATAATAAGATTTGTTGCCCTCTTCTGGCCTGCAGGCATACATGCAGGCAGAACACAGTATACAAAATAAATGACTAAGTAAAATAAAAAAAAAAGAAGACTACTGCAACTATAAAATTTAGGTAAGTCCCAAATACACAGAGAAAACTCTACAGCAGAAACACAGAAGAGAGAAAATAAGATATATAACTATTTTAAAAAATCATCAAAGCCAAACAAGACGGCAAGAGACAGACTGGAGCAGAGGGAGCACAAAGCAGAAAACAGTGAACGAACACAGCAGTATGCTCCAGCAACTGTGCTAGCCACAAGCACTCTTTAACCAGATGTGGAGTGCAGGAGTGGGCTTGGGTTTTTTTTATTTTAGATTTCTTTATTTTATTTAATGTATCTTGGTATTTTGGTCTGCATATGTCTGTGTACTACTATGTGGGTACCTGGTGCCTATGGAGGCAAGAAGAGGACATTAGTTCCCTGTAACTGAAGGCACAGATGCTGTGAACCATTGTGTGTGTGCTAGGAATCAAACCCAACCCTCTGCAAGAACAGCGAATATTCTTAACTGCTGAGCTAATTTTCCAGGTCTTGTTGAATGTGGTTTTTAGAATTCTATTACTGGCTACCTGAATTAGACCTTTAGGTGTGGATTATGAACATAGCTTCAAAGCAAAGGAGGAAGGAAAGAAGCTATTCCAAGCCAATGATGACCACGAAGGAGAAGGGTGCCACAGACTCTTGTCAGACAAAATGGGCCTCTTGTCCTCCTGCCTCAGTATCATATGACAGAGAAGACAGTTCATCAAGAAAATCCTATGCAGCAGAACCTGGATGGACCAATAATTTGGACTGAGAGTGAATCAGTAACTTTAAAAAAGACATCCAACAGAGAGAAAGTCGTGGCTCACGGTTCCATTCCACAAAGGGTTAAAGAGCATTGATTATTGGAGTTGGGGGTGATAAAGCCTCATGAGCACAGGATGGGCCTTGAACTCCTGATCCACTACCTCTGAAGGGCTGGGATAACAGGCATGTGCCACCATTCCTGGCTTTAACATCAACTCTTAATAAACTATCCCAAGCTTGAAAGGGAGGGAATAATTCCAAAGTCATTCTATAAAGCCAGAATTATACTAACACTGAAGCCAGACAAGGAAACAAGAAGAAAACAGAGACTGAGACACCTTGTGAACACAGCTGCGAAAAAAAAAAATCTAAAAAAAAAGTGTTAGCAGAGTGAATCCTACAGCACGTTTGTAAAAGCTATCCTGGGTCTGGTGGCATAGATGAGTGGTAGCACTCTATTTGCCTAGCATTCACGAAGCTGCCTAACATTGCTAAGGGGGAAAGAGAAGGAGACTAAGAAAAGGGAGAAGTAAAGAGGGAGATACAGGAAGGGAAGGAAGAAGAGAAGGTAAAGGGGAAGTCATATTAACCATAAAGCTGATATATCACATCTCTAGACTAAATAGCAAATATCGTATGATCATTTCAAAGGACATACAAGAAGGCCATTTTATAAGAGTTAACATGTCTCTATGATAAATATATATATATATATAAATAAATTGAAAATTGAAACTATCTCCTGTGTGATCTGAACAACACTGTTGCTCACACAGAATGAGAAGCCTCAAGCAGAGAAATAAGTATGAATCAGAAATGAGGGTGTGCAGGCAGGACAGGAGGAAGTAAAACTCACATTCTTCTAGACTCTACCAGAAATACTGTTAGAGCACATAATTGGGCAAAGTTAAAGGATACAAAATCAACATACAAAGTAGAACATTCCTAGTAAACCATCTGAAAAAACTGTAAAGAAATTAATACTGTTTACAGTAACTATCAAAAAAAATGATAGATCTGGGACTGGAGTAGAACCTCCACTATTCTTCCAGAGGACCTCAGTTCAGTTCCCAGCCCCCACAGTGGACAGCTCACAATTCAGTTCCCAT